ATCTCAATAGATTCACGTATATTCATACCAATTAAACTTCCAGGTTGGGCTAAAATAACAATTTTTCCCGTTGAATTGTGTGATTAGTTTCACTTACATGTTCGGCTAAAGGTGAAACAGTAATATTATTATTTTTAACATTTCTTTTTAAATTTCTTCTAGTTTGTCCTATATAAACTTTTTCACATTCACATAATATTTTATATATGCCAAATTTTCCATTAAATCAATTTTATTTTTAGTTGTATTAAGAATTTCGCTGACTTTGTTTATCGGTTTGTATATCGGAAAAATATTTTTTATTTTTTTTTCATTATTTGACAAGATAAACCAGGTATATATGATATAGTAAACATTATTTCTTACTTTTTCAGCAAATGGTTTTACCTTAATATCTTCGTCCCTGTTTTTTAGTTTTATGACAGCTCTGTCAACAATATCTGGATTAAAACCTCTTTCCACTGCTATGTGCTTAATTAACAATAACTCATTATTGATATCATCCTGTTTACAACATAATTTTAATATCCTGTCCACATAAGAGTAAAAAACACAGGTTTTTTAGATGTGTGACAAGATTGTTGATGTGGCGGAATGATTACAGAGAGAGGTTTACGATAAATCGTAGTTTAACACTACTGTTAAAACATGTCAATCATTATCGATAACTTTGTATATGGAATGACTGTAATAAAAGTAACAGATGTACTGTTATAAGAAAACACGCGACAATTGAAGTTGACGATTCACTGGAAAGTTTTGATTTTTATTTATTTATTATTAAATAGTCTGTTACGAATACATAATAACAACCATAACTCTTCAACTAGGATTCACATTGAGCAACCGAAAATATTTTTGAAATTCTATATGACTTTTAGTATTTCATGTACTGCAGGTTTTAAAACAAACTTCTGGGCAGTGCAGTGACTTATAGCAGACAAATTATAGATATGACATATTTTTCCCACACCTCTGATCTGAAATCATTAAAGGACTAGCTAATCTGATCATTATACATATATATGTATAATAAAAAGACTTTCGCTACCAGACTTTATTTTCATTTAACTCAGGTTTCAAAAGTGAGAGAGACAGTTTCTGTTGGTGGGGCGTGAGTGGTTTTCTTTGTGAAATAAAACAATGTCACGGCTACTGCTTGCACCAGTAATCTGTTGTGAAGTAAAATTTTAAGACTGCTGAAATGTGAGGGGTGGGGGCTTTTTGTTGTCGTTTAAAAGTGTGGGGAGACGTTTCATCGTGTACTATTTCAAACGACAGGATCTGAAGCACAAACTTTATTGGCATGTGTTTTCTAACTCATTTAAAAACGTATTTTATCTACAATAGGGAGAATAGAGATGGTATAAGTAAAGTTATTGTCAAATTCCTAGTATATTCGTTTAATATAATTTTTATCTGTGGGCAATGCTAAAAAAAAAGTTATATGTATATATACGTTCATACGTCTCGCGGACTGTTGAAATCATAATGATCCGTTCGAACAAAGTTGAAGAAATGCGACATATTTGTGTCAATTAATTTAAACAATTGCGGATTTAATAAGTTGACAAGAAATAAAATAAATAACTCCTGGGAATTGTCTTCTTCCCTCCAGTATGGCACTTCAAAATTAGGAATGGCCAGCGCAGATATTCCTCGAGTAGCTTCGCGCGAAATTGAACAAACAAAAAAAAAACATTAATTAAATTATTTATGGAACTGTTTGTACGAATAAGACCGCGTGTTCAAATCTAATGACAAAAAGTGGAATAATTATGAGTAAGAAAAAATACAGAAAAAATCTGCGTTCTACATTCAAGCAATCAAACAACAGTCAAGGAGGGGGAGGAGTAGAGGTCCAGTGTGTACCTGATCCTTACGGATCTCATGGCCAAAACTACAACCAGAGACAAACAAACTGTTAAAAACAATTTTTGATAAAGTTATTAACCTATATATGAACTGTCTACCTCTATATATTGTATCATCTTATAGATAACAGTCAGAATCATTCGCTTTTCATGTTCTTCGCTTAACTTTTTTACGTTTATAATTATTCTAAGAAGTGAAAGCAAAGAAGAATATGTTATAATTCTTCAACCACACTATAACTACCATATACAATGCCGATGAGGCCTTTCGCTTAATACTATAGTTTATTTATATCATCAATGACATGAACGACAACTGTTATACCATTCAGAAAAAGTGGAGAACCAGCAAATAAGTTTTGTTTCCAGAGCAAGTCAAGTAACCTTAGTGTCAACAGAAGAAAACTTCGGAGTAATCCTACGATATTCACCAAACATGCTCGCCCTTTCAGCCGTGGGGGCGTTATAATGTTACGGTCAATCCCACTATTCGTTGGTAAAAGATTAGCCCAAGAGTTGGCGGTGGGTGGTTATGACTAGCTGCCTTCCCTCTAGTCTTACACTGCTAAATTAGGGACAGCTAGCGCAGATAGCCCTCGTGTAGCTTTGCGCGAAATTCAAAAACAAACAAACAAACAATCCTACGATATTACGAGTGAAAACGAAAAGTATGAAATCCTACGTTAACCTAATAACATAGATGCAGCTTATCTTATCATACACATATATAAACTTATATATAACTTAATACACAACTGTCATAGTCCTATACTTGTTTTTCTTCAGAAATCACTTTTCAGTTCGTGTATCGTCTCAATCCGTATTGATATTACTCGTGTGAAAACTCTTTACAGTCGGTTGTTATAATTATTTAATTAGAAATCTTAACATATATTAATACCTATCTTAACTTATACATTTTACTACTTTTTTTTACGCGGGGACATACGTTTACACACATCTACACACAGACACAATACACGTACATCATCATGTGCGTAGTTAGTTACATACAGTGGTACTCAAAATCTTCAAATCTTTTGTAGCAAAATTGTCTATTCCAACAACTGAGTAATTCTAACGTTTAATGTTATCTAAGCAGCTGGTCTGTCTTCCTCATACTTCGTTCTAATCCATATGTGGGGCTTGTCACTTAACCGTTGGACAGAAGTTTCCCAATAAAAATAAGCAGCTTTTATGTACAAATATTCTGTATAATTCAGCTGGAACTTTCCTGTTTGTGTTATTTCAACCTCTCCTCTTTTTGTGTTTAAGAACACAACTTTTTCTGAGATAAGAAAAATAGTTTCATTGCAGAGTAGAGTCAGTCAGTAAAATGTTGTCCGTAATTTATCTCGACAGCTGTATGTGTTCCACAGCAGGGGTTGGCTTGAATGTGTTTCTCTCAACAACATATAGCGAGTTAAGTGGGTATTATTACTGGTATTATTACTTCCATAATGCTCCATAGACCTTTCGTTTCTATGGCACACGTGTGAAGATAACAATGCTGACGAGCACAGCACAGCCCTCATGTAGAAAGACAACACCAATGTACCTGGTAATGTTTCATTCTCTCAAGAAGTTCAAAACGTAATCACTTCGTTCAGGATACTTATATATATATATTTATAATATTATGTAATGTTTTCCTTTTTTTTCTGCTAAGCCCTCAACTTTATATTGGGTTATCTGTGCTGTGCCTTTCGAAGAAATCGGACACCGAATTTTAGCACCATAAGCATTCAAGCTTACCGCTGAACCACCGACGGACTATACGAATTTAGAAAAAGTCGACACAGCGAGACTGCGACAACAATATGTACACAGAATGTTTGATTGTTATATGAAATGTGAAAATATTTATGTAAAGAATACTTCCAGAGTAACTTCATAATACACGTTTATTATTAAAAGGTGTCTTCCAGAGTAACTTCACAATACACGTTTATTATTAAAAGGTGTCTTCCAGAGTAACTTCATAATACACGTTTATTATCAAAAGGTGTCTTCCAGAGTAAATTCATAATACACGTTTATTATCAAAAGGTGTCTTCCAGAGTAACTTCACAATACATGTTTATTATTAAAAGGTGTCTTCCAGAGTAACTTCACAATACACGTTTATTATTAAAAGGTGTGTTGCTCATTCATGATCTCTGCTTTAAGGAAAAGACTGTTCTAATTCCATCTAGTAGGTATAATGGCAACAAGGTACAACATTAAGTAACGTGCAGAAATTAACTGTGTTGTAACATGACATGGTAAATGACCAGACCAAAACAGCTATTGCTGAGTACTGGTTATGGGTCATAAAAAAGAATATTCAATGGGATGAGGTAGAGAATACTGACAAGCAATTTTACTAAATAAAGCGGGTATAAAAGAAGACAACTTAAAAAATGTGTATAGCTTATTGAATAAACCTAAAAACGATATTTTTCTAAAGAAGGTATCTGTAGTTGTAACAGAAAGAACGACGGTGCTAACGTAATGTAAGTTATATAAAATCTACCAAAACAATAACAAAGAAATTTTGTTTTATATTAATAACTCATTTAATTGCAATTCTAAGAATTAATGGAATGCATGACAAAAAGTTACGATCAACAGCAAGAAACATTAAAAGTTTTACTGGAAGGGACTCGGGCATAAAACGGATTCTCTGAAAGAAATTATAATCTCCAGGAAACGATAGGTGAAAAAGACCAAGAAGTTTAAGGTATTCTGTGTGATTTAAACAGTACTATAATAGATTTTTTTAAAGAAAGAAAGTTTGCATTTTGGAGAAGCTTTAAAGCTGAAAAATTCAACAAGTTATTGAAAAATGCAATTCAAGAGGATCCCCCATTAATACCTTTCAAATTTCGCAAAACAATTAATGGAGTTATTTCAAATGAAGGAAAGCAAGTGAGAACAAGGTTAGAAATAGAAAATTTGAGAATCAAATAGAAGATATGGAAGTTAGAATGGAAAATCAAAAGATGGAATTCACAGAAATTGACTCAAACATTGGAATTTATTCAATGGAAAGAACGGAGAATAAAGTGATTTTTGAAGCACTGATAGAATATTGGAATGATTTATATAAAATGGAAGAAAGAAGAAGTGATGAAAAATTGAAACAAAAAAGGTGTTTGTTTTTGTTTTTTGAGAAGCAAATCTTTCACCAAATATCTGGTACACCAATGGGCACAAAAGTCGCTCCATCGTATGCTAACATCACTATGATATTTTTCGAATTACACTTATTTAATATACTACTTAATTATTTTAAAGATAATTTTGTAGGTGACGTAAAAACGTTTTGGAAAATATTTTTAGATGATTGTTATGTAATATGGAAAGATACTCAATATGTTAATAAATTTGTTGGAATTTTAAATTCAATAAACAAGGAAATTAAGTTCACCTTCGAAAGAAATAATAAAAGCTTGTCATTTTTAGATGTGTTGGTAAGTATTTCACCAGAAAAGGACATTGTAACTGATATTTTTTTATAAACCCACAAATTCTCATCAATATGTAGATTTTTTTTGGTAATCATCCCAAACATATATAATTAAATGTTCCCGCAAATCTTGCAAGTAGATTATATCGCTTGGTTTCCAATGAAGAAACGAGAGATAATAAGTTACTAGAACTAACATATTTTAGTTCAGTGTCACTATCCAGAGAAAGTTATATAATACACAATTAAACAAATAATAGATAAAAAACTGAAAGATTATTCAAAAATAATAAAATTATTTTATCAAGAAGACAACCTACAAATTTGTACAGATTTTGAATAAACCTAAAAAACTATATTTTTCTAAAGAAGGTATCTTCAGTTGTGTAAGTAAGTTATGTAAGTTATATAAAATCTACCAAAACAATAAAGAACAATAACAAAGAAATTTTGTTCTATATTAATAACTCATTTAATTGCAATTCGAAGAACGTAATATATCTTTTAAAATGTGCAAATTGTGGTGAATCATATATATTGGTTTAACAAATAATTTAAGATTAAGGTTAAATTTACATAGGTTCCATATTAGATGTCCTGAAAAAAAGTCCACTATATGCCAGTAAACATTTTTATGAATGTATCTTGAGAAAATATAAAATTCTTAAAGAACCATATTTTCATGTTTTTCCTTTTTGGGAATGGGATGAATTAGGAAGCCGTGAAAAGAGTTACTAAAACTTATAGCAAAGAAAAAGTAAGTATGAAATTATAGAATAAATAAATTGATTTCTATTAAAATAATAAGTAGAAAAATATAATTAGAATAAGATTTTATTTCAAAAAGAAAAGTATATTGACTAATTTTATTTATTTTTGAACATTTGTAATGTGCATAATTTATACATGAACTGTATTATATGTTTGTACATTTGGAAAATATATGTATTTAATTTATATTATTCATGTTTAGTTGAAAAGCAGTATTTGCATGTTTTTTGTTATACATTCTCAGTAAAACTATTTCCTGAAGAATGACCTTTGAAGTCACGAAACCGGTAGAAGAAATTAATAAAAGAAGGGGAGGAAAGAAGTCTGATATTCGGAAGTTTGAAAACGGTTTCCAATCAAATGCTGGAATCTAATCTGATTTTCAACATATGTGTGTATGTTTATCATTAAATCTGACTTCGTGGAAAATTAATTAATTTTTCTATTTTTTTTTATTATCAAGCCCTAATATTTTTTTCCATAAATTACGTTTATCTTTGTCTACAGTATTTTACTTTTTCTAAACATTTTATTATTATATTAGCTGAAAATCAGCAAGACAGCCATACTTATCGCTTCCATATTTTTTTATTTTGTGTAAAAATATCCAACTGTTTTTCATTCGTGCAACACTTTTTGCATTATATACAACCTTAAAAAAGATTGTATCGTTATAATTTTTCGTTATAGTTTCTTCTAAATATTTTCAATAACTTTTAATCATCTTTCAGCCATGTTTCACAAGTACAAAATAAATTTAATGATAAAGAAGAAATATCAAAGAATGCATGCTTCATCCAGTAGAGCACATTTGTCTTTTTTTCTTGAAAAATCAAATAGAGATTTAAACTTCTATTGGTTATTTTTAAAATGTCTCTTTGTTGGTGGTGTAATATCCCCTCCTGCTGTTATTACAGAGCTTAAATACATATATTTATAAATATATTGAACACTAAGTAACCCTAGTTTTAATTGAACTTTGCCTTCATCACTTCAATGTAATACCATTAATTTAATTTTCTTTTGCTTCATAATCGTTTTTGATCCTTCACAAAAGTCATATACTATTTTTAAATTATCTTCCACTACCGTTTAACCTGTTATAAGAATTACTGTATCATCCATTAAAACTAAAATATGTAGTTTTAGAGTTTTTAAGAGATTGTTCTAATATTAAATGTAAAAAATGAAAATCATAATTAGAGGAGCCTTTACTCTAGAAAAATCAAACCTTCTATAATACACCACCTGTTATTTGATGCATTAAAAAAAAAAGGTTTTGAACGTTTAGAGTCCACAACCAGTTGACTTAACTATTCTAAATCAAATATTTCGAGATACTTAGATATAGGTTTTCATAATCAATAAAACAATGCATAAGTGTTTAACTTCTTCTTTACATATACATTCAATAATCCCAATGTCATTATCTGTTCAATACATTCTCTTGTATGCACTAGTTATTCTGCACGTAATTTAAGCCATAATTGTATATTGCTCCTGTTTTACTCGTTGCGTTCAGATAGAAATGGACTAAAGAAGAGTTTGTGAACGATTTCAAAAGTTTCTAATAATAAAAATAAAATATGGAATTAGTCTTGAAAAAATAATCTTATATCGACAGAAAACTAAAAACAGTCAACCAAGGTCAACACACATGCAGAAATACAAGTACGAACGAGCCACGACTATAACATATAGACACAAAAATAACACAGGCATCTCAGGACAACAACATCTCTACAGAAAACCAAACACAGGCATCTCAGGACAACAACATCTCTACAGAAAACCAAACACAGGCATCTCAGGACACCAACATCTCTACAGAAAACCAAACACAGGCATCTCAGGACACCAACATCTCTACAGAAAAACAAACACATGCATTTCAGGACACCAACATCTCTACAGAAAAACAAACACAGGCATCTCAGGACACCATCATCTCTACAGAAAACCAAACACAGGCATCTCAGGACACCAACATCTCTACAGAAAAACAAACACAGGCATCTCAGGACAACAACATCTCTACAGAAAAAAAACACAGGCATCTCCGAACAACGACATCTCTACAGAAAACCAAACACAGGCATCTCAGGACAACAACATCTCTACAGAAAAACAAACACAGGCATCTCCGAACAACAACATCTCTACAGAAAACCAAACACAGGCATCTCCGAACAACAACATCTCTACAGAAAACCAAACACAGACAAACTAGAAGAACAACATATCGACTAAATGGCAAACACAAACAAACCGGAGCAAAACATATCTGTGAAAAGACAAACACAGAAAAATCAGAACAACACGTGAAATGATAGATAAATAGACAATCCGGGAGAAAAATAACATATCAACAGATATACAACCCGAGACTATAATACATCTATAGAAAAACAAACAAATCAGGACAACAACATTTCTACAAAAAGACAAACACAGATAAATCGGAGCAAAAACATATCGACATAAAGACAAACATATCAAACCGGAACAACAAATTATCGACATAAAGACAAACATATCAAACCGGAACAACAAAGTATCGACTGAAAGACAAACAATATTTCAACAGAACGATAACCCGTGATTTTACATTAGGAACATCACATTATAGTTTTAACTGACTGCTGTTAATGAATAGTTATTATGGTCAGAAGACATACTTGTAATATGTAATAAATATCTACCAATATTTTCAAACCCGCTACGTTAGAACAAAGTCACACACGTATACGTAATCAACTTCCAACTATACACCTACACGTGCTTCTTTCGTCCTTTCGGCTCTAAAATATACACGCGTACTTATACATATTGAGTTAAATTGTAAAGCTATGGAATTATCCGAATATTTTTATCAAAACATAAAATTATTACATGCTTATTATCGGTGTCGCAAGGACTTATTTGTTTATCGACACTTTGCTTATATAAAACGTGTGAATAGCTTACCTTTAATTACACAAGCCTGCGAATTTAAACGGATTTTCCATAATTCAGCTAAGCAGATTTCGAAAATAATATTTATTTTTTTCCTATCACGTAAGGATTTTTTACAAATCGGGAAGAAAAAAAACTGTTACTTAGATCAAATTATTATTTCGTTTACCACAACGAACATTTTTTTATTATTATTATGTTTGTTAACAAGAATACAAACAAACTGAAGAAAGGGGAAGAACATTGATGTCAAACGAATATGCATCCTATGCGTATGCTATGGCTAACCATCTAACAACAATGGATCTGTTCTTATCTTGCTCTTAACCGACGTACACATATGCTATGGCTAACCGTCTAACAACAATGAATCAATTTTAATCTTACTCTTAACCGACATACACATATGCTATGGCTAACCGTCTAACAACAATAGATCACATCTTAGAGTAATTTCAATAAAACATTTCTTAAGGAAACCATACTGCTCCTAAGATCGAACAAGTAAAATAATTCCGTGTTCAATCAATTTCTGCAACCAATCGCTCAAAAATATATAACCTTCCGATGAGGCAATTTTTGGAAAACAATCCCTTACTGTGATTATTTTCAGGAAATATACTTCTAATATGTACACTAATCTTGAGAAACAATATTCTGGTGTAGTAATTTTTCAAACATATACATATTCTATTGTGGCTCTCTTTCTAAAGAAACCTTCTACTGTAGTCACTCAGTATGACTAAGCTTCTATTATGGTAGCATTGGAAGGTTAAGATTCTATTGTGGTCACTCTGGAAGACTAGTCTTCTATTGTGGTTACTCTGTAAGATTAAATTTCTATTGTGGTCACTCTGTAAGACTAAGCTTCTATTATGGTTACTTTGGAAGGTCAAGTTTCTATTGTGGCCACTCTGTAAGACTAAGCTTCTATTATGGTTACTTTTGAAGGCTAAGTTTCTATTGTGGTCACTCTGGAAGACTAAGCTTCTATTATGGCCACTCTGTAAGACTAAGCTTCTATTGTGGTCATTCTTGAAGGTTAAGTTTCTATTGTGGTTACTCTGTAAGACTAAGCTTCTATTATGGTTACTCTGTAAGACTAAGCTTCTATTGTGATCACTCTGAAAGGTTAAGTTTCTATTGTGGTTACTCTGTAAGACTAAGCTTCTATTATGGTTACTTTGGAAGGTTAAGTTTCTATTGTGGCCACTCTGTAAGACTACGTTTCTATTATGGTCACTTTGGAAGGTTAAGTTTCTATTGTGGTACTCTGGAGGGTTAAGTTTCTATTGTGGTTACTCTGTAAGACTAAGCTTCTATTGTGGTTACTCTGTAAGACTAAGCTTCTATTGTGGTCACTCTGGAAGAGTAGTCTTCTATTGTGGTTACTCTGTAAGACTAAGCTTCTATTGTGGTCACTCTGGAAGACTAGTCTTCTATTGTGGTTACTCTGTAAGACTAAGCTTCTATTGTGGTCACTCTGAAAGGTTAAGTTTCTATTGTGGTTACTCTGTAAGACTAAGCTTCTATTGTGGTTACTCTGTACGACTAAGCTTCTATTGTGGTCATTCTTGAAGGTTAAGTTTCTATTGTGGTTACTCTGTAAGATTAAATTTCTATTGTGGTCACTCTGTAAGACTAAGCTTCTATTATGGTTACTTTGGAAGGTCAAGTTTCTATTGTGGCCACTCTGTAAGACTAAGCTTCTATTATGGTTACTTGTGAAGGTTAAGTTTCTATTGTGGTCACTCTGGAAGACTAGTCTTCTATTGTGGTTACTCTGTAAGACTAAGCTTCTTTTATGGTTACTTTGGAAGGTTACGTTTCTATTGTGGCCACTCTGGAAGACTAAGCTTCTATTATGGTCACTCTGGAAGGTTAAGTTTGTATTGTGGCTACTCTGTAAGACTAAGCTTCTATTATGGTTACTTTGGAAGTTTAAGTTTCTATTGTGGACACTCTGGAAGACTAAGCTTCTATTATGGTCACTTTGGAAGGTTAAGTTTCTATTGTGGTCACTCTCGAAGACTAGTCTAATGTGTTGCTCTAAAACTGTTATCTTCTGACGCTAATAATTTAGAAAAATACACCCTTTCAGTTCGATTGATATGTAAAAGTAACATCTTATTTTAATCATAAATAACATTTAATATTGTGTTCACTTGAGTGTAGTAAATTTAAGATACTAAATACATATCCCTGTGTGAGTTTATTGCATACATATTTTCCCGTAAATATTCTCAAACATATTTTTTAAAACTTATTCAAACTTTGTAATTAAGCACAAAGCTACACAATGGGCCATCTGTGCTCTGCCCACCATGGGTATCGAAACCCAGTTTCTAGCGTTGTAAGTCCGCAGATATACCGCTGTGCCACTGGAAGAGGGGAGGTCAAAATAGAAGCATATAAAATTCGTTTCCTGATTATTTTAACATGTCATGCATTGTTTTAATAGTACTAGAAAACAAGGCCAGAAAGCACGTAGATTAAAGTACACAAAACGTTAGGCATTTTAATCCTACCAATGCCATTTTAGATACACTCGTATATTATATGGTTTACGGAATAGCTGTAAAAACAGGACACAAAACATTTGAGTTATTCACATTACTTGCTTTTTTAAAGCTTGTATAATTTGTGAAATAAATACAGTAAATATTCAATCCAAAAGAAGTTTGTGTTAGCTGTATTTGGCATGGATCCAGTTATGAAAACGATACGTAGCTAGAGTAAACGCTGATTGGCGAAACACGTTATTTTAGGTCGGAAACCTGAAGTCAATCCCTCCAGTAAGGATGGAGAAAGGAGGAGTAGATATTGTCAATTTGTGTGCAGATTGTTTAGAAATGCTCACTAGTTTGCTGTTATGTCATTTCACGTGACTCATGAGATATTATCCAACCCCTGCAGCGCTCCTGTTCTTGTTCAGCTGCTGCTCATGCTCCCGCGCGGTATTCCGCCCTATCGTCAGCTCGCCTCCGCGTGTTCTAGCTTGACTGCCAGAAAATAACTACATTCCTGTTCTACAGCACAAGGTAAGCTGACAGAACAAACTCACTTACTAATTTCATTCCTTTAACTTTAATTTTTTAATAAGACATATGTCAATAATTCACTTAAAACAAAACCAAATACGTCTCTATTCCCTAATCACAACTTTTTTTTCGATAAGTAATGCATTATTCATTAAAGTAATCCGTCTTTAGTAACACATGTAGTGCAAATTACTAGGAGACAGAACGCCCAACAGTTTTTGGAGAAACCTGATAACTCAGCCGGTTTGTGAACACAGGCATGCTCTCTTCACGGGTGAAAAGTAAAGTCAATCTTCCGGAAGCCCTCGAGGTGTGAGGAGTGTTTCATTATGATCTATATAAGTTTGGGGACCTTCGTGTTTACGATTGTTGTTGGTTTTTTTTCCAAATATTAGGAATGCTAAACCAAGTTAATGATTGTGATAAAGTCAACCACACTAATGTTTTGTATATTAGGATACTTACTGAAATAATTCTGGTTTAGCCGTACTGGTTGGTTACATAGGTGATATCCCATGTTCTCGAGCTAGCTGGACAGATGAGAGCTGACCTTGTTTGAACCCGTAGGTTTTAATTTTTTGTTGTTTTTTTACCGATGAGAAAGTTAAAATAATCTAGGTTTTAAGACCTATTTGATGTGACTGTGAGATAAATAAAACCATGAAATAAACATTTACAAACAATTCGGTTTTAAACATTATGTAATAGACACGTGAAATCTCGTTCTGATAAAGCGGCACTTTATATCTTTCATAGCTTTTCTCAGACAAATTCCATATTCATTCATGTTTTATATGTATGTATATTTTCACTATTAGGTGATATGCTCTTAGTAATATGTATATATAAGTCTTTTCTGTCAAAACTTCAAAATTGTATTTTGAATCACTCTCATCCGCTCAGTGACACTTGAACATCAAGACTGGACCCGGTTCCATTAGTGATGTATCATTCTGAAGTCGGTAAGTAAATATTCATTACTTTCTCGTTGATTGTGTATAGGTTTCCAATGTACTAAAGTAGCTGTCTGTGGTGATATTTCTATATTTCTTAACAAATATATTTATTTTGTAACTGTCCAAACTCTATGCGGCTCCCCTCCTGACAATTTGTGTTAACTTCCGAAACTACATAGTAAATTTTGACAATGTTCCGACTCCTTTTTTTTTTTTTTGCTTCAATAAGAACGCAAATGTACAGGATGTTCCAAAAGTATAACTCTCGTAGGAAAAGTAAATCCCAGGAACAACATGCTGAACAAATCATGTAAGAAGTCTCATTTCCTCTTGACATCAGATTTTTGAAACACTCTGTATATTATATTCAAAGTTGATCCATCTCTGCACTTAGCCTACAGAGTTATGACAAAGGTTGAACCAGAGATTCTATAACTTAAAACGAAGGCATGTTTTCAGATAGATAAGAAGGATTGCTTGAACTTTGTATTTTCCGAACAAAGATACAGTTATTTTTTGTACGTGTGTGTGTGAGTATGTGGTAAGGGAGGGGAAGATAAATTGGTTTTTGTACGTATGTGCGTATGTGGAAAGGGAGGGGAAGTAGTGAAATACAAATGGGTTCTTGAGCCACGTCTTCGCACACTGGACAAACTCAAGTCATTCGTAATTCTTCAAAGTTAAATATTAACTGATATTGTTGATCTCTATGTGTATACTGTTACTTTTAGCTAATAATTCGTATTAAAAGTTTGGAGACGGCTTGACTGGGTAATGACAAAACTTTATTGTAAATGTACGACGTTTCGGCAATATTAAGTCATCCTCAGGACATAATATTGTCGAAACGTTGTACATTTAGAACAAAGTTTTTCATTACCCAGTCAAACCGTCTCTAAACTTTTATTTCTAAGAAATTGGTTCTTCGTCATCAAATAATAATTTGTATGTTCGTGCTGTACCACATTTCAATCATCTTTTACATTCAGTCTACTTGACGAGGCGAAAATACTATTACAAACTTTATAAAAGAAAAATCGTTATGTTAAACCTGAATGTATATTGAATACAGTTTACAATATATATATATTTATACGTGTTTTTGTTAAAGAGACACAACGTAAAACGCTTTACACCTATTTTTCTATTTGTTATCATCTAAGTGTTTATTTAGAAGGCGTAATGATTAATTAAGAATTTAAAATTTATACAAAAATATATAGAATTTGAAATGACCTGCAGTAAATATGGCTGTAAATAACGTAGGATGCAGAATACATGGATTTTGTACACTTTATTTAGTAAGTTATCGTGATATTATACAAAATATAATATGATCAATAAAAGTGTTATTGTAAACATATATCTGGATAACTGTTTATTTAAATGAGGAGACAAAAGTGTACACAAAGGTATGTTCCTATTTTATACAACCTGTCTGAGCTATGTCATTATTGCCAGTGTTCTTAATATTTGATTGTATCTTGGGGATAAATCGTCAACATGTTTGTTCTGATAATGTTTCAGACAATGTTTTTATCTTTTTAAAGATGTGTGCATGTCACCTTCAATGGTATGCTTATAGAAAATCGCATAGTTTTTCTAACAATTAAAAATGCAAATATTTCTTATATTTAATTAAGCTGCAACAAAAATGGAATTACATTGTTGTGCATATTTACAACAATGTTGAAATGTGCAGATTTTTATTTCCTATTTTAAAATGGAAACTTTCGTTTCTATATAGTTATGGCGGCGTACGATTTTGTATATAGAGAAGTACTATAATCAAGAACGTTGTGAGAAAATGAGTGCGAGTTATAATTTAACACTCGAATCATTACTAATTATGTTGTCCTTAAAAGTTATGAATAAGTCATAAGTGGGAAAAGTCTGTTTTGAGATACACGTATTTTGACAGAAGTTTATAATACAATTTTATGATTTGCAAAAGTGTGAAAAGTAGAAAGAAAACAAAATATTTTGTTTAAGTATTTATATTGAAAATTATCGAAATATTATACAAATAGGGTTCTAGGATTTGTTTGTTTGTTGTTAACACAAAGCTACACAATGGGCTATCTGTGTTGTGCTCACTACAGGTATCGAAACCCAGTTTTTAGCCTTAATATCCTTCAGACTTACTGGGATGGGTGGAAGGGTTATAAGAAAACAGATCTATAAGGATGTCCGACATCGGTGTATCTAATAATCAAATAAGGAAGACGAAACATAAATATTCTCTTTAAATACAACATAACGTACGATACTTAACGAAAATATTCGTTACGATAATCGTAGACACTAAAGTAAGTAATTTTTTTCAAACAGGTTAACAACGCAAAATACCGAAAATACGAAAGAATTTGATAATTTTAGCGTTAATTGTAGAGAAAATCGTATTGTGATTATTGTCAAATACAACGCCCTCTATGAGGAAATGGCACTGTCAAACAATTAAAAGTATGTTAGTTTGCTTTAGTTGTTGGTGAGCGCAAAGCTAAACAATGGGCTATCCGTGCTCTTCCCACCGAGAGTATCAAAACCCGATTTTTAACGTCATAAGCTTGCAGACTAACCACTGAGCCACTGTGTGCTGCTATAAGAAAAAGTAACCCAACTTGAAGTACTAAATGAAACAGCAAATGATGGAATGTGGAAAGAAAACGGGATACTTCTCTTCCAAGGTGGGTAGCACGTACAAAATGCACCGAGACAATTGTGCATTATAGAAATGTATCCTTCTGTCGTACCATAAAGACATGTCGACTTTTGGAATTGCGTTGAATGCACTGAAGTGTAATATTTGTTTTATATGTTTACTTACCCCTTCAATTTTTAAAATCATGTGTTTTTATCGAGAAAAAAAAGAACGTAAAATTAATCTAGTTTGCTAGTCAACATGGGTAGATCTAAGGATTGTAATAATGTACATGTTTTTTCAAGAAATCTAGACCTATTTCAGTTTGCGTTCTTAGCAAAATCAGAATCTTTCATATGGCCCTTAATTGAATAACAAATAGAGAATAAAATCGGAAGCCGCTTGTAGGTCCGTTACCATGGCTTTAAGTGCCATTATATGTTCTATAATGTGTCGGTAAAAGCACCGACACCGAGTATTAAAGGTGTACTTATTAGGCCGGATAAGAGAAACTAGAGATCTTATCAAAAGTAAACAAATATAAACCTCTGCAAACTGATTTGAAATGACCAATACAATTCATACACGCCGAAAAAATAAATAAAGCTGATTTCTCTTTGAAGAAGCCTTAGAGTGATTCAGAAAATAAAAATTCTATACTAATCTGTTTAATACATTTCAATTCTATATGGAAAATTCACAGGCACAATATTATATGCTAAAAAACAAAGTTTATATTATTATTACATTTCTATATAATCATTGAACATTTGTGAACAAAAAAAAAATCAGTCTCAAACTAAATGTTCAAATATACCCCTGAAGAAGAAAGAAGCGATAAAGCAAGTTCTATTTTTTCAAATATTGTACTGGTCCTTATGTTTTCAAGTCGTACGTGGCTTAGTGGTTAGCCTACTAGACTATGAATCTGAAGGTAAAAGGTTCGCATCTCGTTGCCGCCAATTCGCGCTCCGTGGGTGCGTTATAAGAGTGACGGTCAATTCCCACTATTCGACTAGAGTAACCTCAACAGTTGGCGGTTGTTGCCGTTAGCTAGCTTTCTTCTCTCTAGTCTATCAGTTCAATATTAGGGATGTTTGGCGCAGATATCCTTTGTATGTATTTACGCGAATATTTGAAACGAACAAGCAATCCTTATGTTGTCAGTGTCACAAAAAGTTCTTAGGCACTTATGTGAGTGTTCGTGATTTTTCCACAACACTTACATTGACGCTCTTCTTCGAGGCTTAGCAAAGTCGTGTACATTTTAAAGTATATTATACAATTTGGTCTGGAGTTGACTGATATGCATACAAAAAACAGCTCCACCTAAAGACATGCAAGGTTCCAGTGAGTTACATTTCCTGTCAATAACCTATCTGGATTAGTGAAAGCTCTCAGTACTACAAGGTTCCAATGAGTGACATTTCCTGTCAACAACCTATCTGGATTAGTGAAAGCTCTCAGTACTACAAGGTTCCAATGAGTGATATTTCCTGTCAATAACCTATCTAGATTAGTGAAAGCTCTCAGTACTACAAGGTTCCAATGAGTGATATTTCCTGTCAATAACCTATCTGGATTAGTGAAAGCTCTCAGTACTACAAGGTTCCAATGAGTGACATTTCCTATCAATAACCTATCTGGATTAGTGAAAGCTCTCATTACTACATGGTTCCAATGGGTGACATTTCCTGTCAAGAACCTATTTGGATTAATGAAAGCTCTCTGTACTACATGGTTCCAATGGGTGACATTTCCTGTCAAGAACCTATTTGGATTAATGAAAGCTCTCTGTACTACATG